ACGCTTTTGAAGTTTCCATGACACTATAGACATCGTACAAGCTATCTTGCAAATAACTCAAAATGTAGTTTTTGCACAAGAAATCAGAATGTTTCCATGCTTCAGTTACAACAAATCGTTTATCATCCGGAGTGTCTTCAGCCAGGACCGGAGGATCCTCCTTGATGAATCGCTGCAAACTCAACGTAGTAAGATAGAAGAGCATCTTCATTTGCCAGCGTTTGAAGTCGATACCAGAAAACTTTACGGGTTTTTCTGCTGGTGCCATAGCATGAGCAGGAGTTGAACGGCTTGACGAGGCAGCAACATTCGTAACAGTAGCACCCGTTCCCGCAACATTTCCATTAGTTTGGTTTTCATTCGTCATTTTTCTGTAGAGTTGGAAACAAAACAGAACTTTGTTAAATCAGTGAAGTTTTGATATCTTCAAACTGAATGCCAAACCAAACATACAACACGTAACAATGGTGAAGTTTTTATATACTTCAAACCCGTACGTTTATTATTTCGGTAAAGTTTTGATATACTTTAAACCGGACAGAACAATTATTGGAGTAGAAAGCACGAAGGCTTTTGTCTCCAAACCAGTATACAAATTATAGATAACAGTTTATAATATATATTTCAACACAGAAACTTTAGATAAAATTCCTTAAGCTTGTTGTCCGCTACTGTGTTAAAACACGAAATCAAAAAACTGTTAGAAGAATAAAAGAAACTGGAAAACAGTAAAGAATAAGAAATATTCCGAGTCCACAATTTGCTTGTGTGCCCTTAAGGAATTTTAACCCCCTCACAAGTTGCCAAGGTAATGGATTAAATCCTCCCAGGATGAAACGGAATAAACCTTCATGCAACAGTGGCAATACAAACTGCAGGATACCAACAAACTCAAAGAACGGAGCAAAATCACACTTACGAATTTGAGAGAGAGAGACTGAGAATTAGAATGCAGTATTTTCAGAAAGAAGGAAGTTCTGTAATATTTTTGGTGTGTTAAAAACGAAGCCATGCCTCAAAATTTATAGGCAATTATTGGAAGAGGTGTGATGTTTGTTCTGGAAAAGGTGTATGTTCAGAAGTTTGCGCGCCCTGCCGCGGTCCTACCGCGGTTACGTCAGGACCGCGGCCAGACTATCCTTCTGAATCTTCAGCAGTGATCTGGCATTTAATTAATTATTAAATAATTAATTAAATAAATTTTGTCCAAAAATAATCTTATCGATCGATCCGAAGCCGAAGCCGAGCCGAGCGAGCGACGACGACGGCGCGAGGGTTCATTCTCTTCAACTCCTTTTAAGAGCTTTAAGAAGTGATTCTATATATAAGCACACAAATGTAGTTGTCCCTCACCAATGAGGGACAAAGTGCAAGTCAAAAGCTCACTTTATTCAAATTTTCATTTCCCTCTATTTTATTTCCCACCATTTCCAATTCACACTCTTAGACTTTAAAGCCCAATGCTTAAAGTCTTTGAAGCCCAATGACTTTAAAGTCCAACAAAGGTTTCTTCTTTTATTGAGTTTGGTAATTATGATCAACATTTATCATTTTTAAAAACTTATATTTTTTAAAATTTTATTTTACAATTAAAACATACTCCTATTATTTAATATACTATATATATTAATTTTAAAATAAATTATGTATTCATTGAATTACATACATGCACAATGTGCGTACCCTGAGACTAACATAATTAGATATAAAAATATAATATTCTCTAACAGATTAAACTTTTAGATGAGATGCTCACACTTTAATAGTTATGAGTAATTAATTAGAAGAAAAGTTCAGAGTAACCATAACTAGGGGTGTACAAAGGAAACCGACAAACCGCACCAACCCAATAATCTGAGTCAAAACGAGAAAAAAAATTCGACTATGATTTGGTTTGGTTTGGTTTGGTGTTGGAAAAAAAACCCGACTATAATTGGTTTGGTTTGGTTTTAACTAAAGAAAGTCAAACCGAAACCAAACTAACCCGACATTATATATAGAGAAATATTAGATATATTTAATATATAAATATACTTATTGTGATGTAATTTATAAATATTTCTTAAACTTTTTCATAATTTTATCTTTTAAGGTATTATCTCAAGGTTGGACTTAGAACTTTTGATTGTTCCAATAAGTTTTATAGCCATTAATATTAGTAACTTAAATAATGCTAACAAAGCCCAAACCAAAATCAAATAAATACTAATGCTAACAAAAGACATTCAATTCAATACTACGAACGGCAATTTATTGAATATCTATTTTTTTGTTTTGTAATAATTTAGATAAACATGCATAACCTATTTTTATTTTTTCTTTAGCTTTTAGTCATGTAGTAATTAATACTCCCTTATTAGTCTACTTATTTTAGCATGACTTAGTACTTTTAGATTATGTTTATTTTTATTATGTCTTTTTAATTAGCAATATTTATATTACAAAATTTTACTATCTTTATTGTTAAATATTTTTAGTATAATGCCATGACACATCTCATATTTGGTATTATTTTTTTGAAAAATACCTTATATAGTTGTATCTTACTAGGATTAAAGAAATATTTTGAGCACAAGTTATATGTTTTGTGCTACAAAGATTTTACCGGAAAAAAACCCGAAAAAATTCGAATAACCCGAAAATCCGAGAAAAACCGAGATTGAAAAACCCGAATTTATTGGTTTGGTTTGATCTTTAGATTTAATAACCCGACACAATTGGTTTGGTTTGGTTATTACACAGCCCGAACCAACCCGACCTATGTAAATCCCTAACCATAACAAATGATTGATTACCGATCTACTAAGAGCCCATTTGGACATAAGAAATTTTTCCCCTTTTTTCCAAAAATTTTTAATTTTTTTAGAAATCAGCGTTTGTTCATACAATATTCAATTTTCACTTGAAGATGCATTTTGAAAATTTTCGAAAATTTAAAAAACCTCAAAAAACTGTTTTTCAAAATTTTCACTCACAAAACTTCAAAAACAAAATTATATTCATGTCTAAACACAACTCTAAATTTTAAATATCATTTTCACTTGAAAAAAGAAATTCACCATATTTTGAAATTTTACAATTCTTATGTCCAAACGCCCACTAACTATGCACATCTTCTACATCTCTAGTTATCAAGAGGAGTACCGATTTTTACTTATCTCCTCCAAGCTAATATTGGTGGTTATTCTTCGTTTGCCATCCTACGTAGTTCTAGTAGGCTATTTAATTAAGGAATTTTTACATTCCTATACCATATAGGAAACCTTATTACCCTCAATGTTTAAGGTTTGATATAATTATATTTAGTATACCAAATTACCAATTCTATACCATATATTTAGGTAGTTATTTTTAAATAGGCTCATAAATATAAATAGGCTAATTATAGGGATATTTAACAGAAACTTTGATTTACTGCCATATAAGAAATAGATGACCAAATCACGATTAGACATACATATAAAGAAGAAAATTTGGAGTGTTTACACTATAACAAGTTTAACAGGTAATGTAATTGATCCAAATTTGGAACATTCATAATAAAAGGACGTAATCAGTGCAGATTACATATTGATTGAACTGCACAAAAAGCACTATATATGCACATCTTTGCTCAATGTGACAATCACCTCAAAACCATGGATTTTAGATCTGTTTTCACCCTGGTTTACATAGGTTGGGATGTGCTCACTAGACCAGAGCGTAAATTAGGATGTGCTCACTAGACCGAAGCGTAAATTAAGCGACAGCAACAGTGATGATTCATATATAGCGGACACCAATTTTTTTGTCATGATCTGTTCATTGAAGATCATGACAAAATACAATGATTTGTAGAAGTTTTAGTCGTTTTTGATTTGTGAAAACAAAAAACAATGCATCTACAATCAGAATACAAATAATCTACAATTCATCTATAAAATATCTACAAACTGGGTATATTGAATTTTAATATCCCAATTCTTATTCGATTGTAGTTTAATTAGGATTTTCGACATAATTGCGATTTTTGTAAAAGATTTGTAGAAGTTTTAGTCGTTTTTGATTTGTAAAAACAGAAAACAAAGCATCTACAATTAGAATACAAATAATCTACAATTTATCTACAAAATATCTACAAACTGGGTACGTTGAATTTTTGTATCCTAATTCCCATTCAATTGTAGCATAATTGTGATTTTTGACATAATTGCGTTTTTTCAGAAGATTTGTAGAAGTTTTAGCCGTTTTTTATTTGTGAAAACAGAAAATAAAACATCTACAATCAGAATACAAATAATCTACAATTTATCTACAATTTCTGCAATGTCTTCTTCTTCTTCTTCTTCTTCTTCGAGTTTCAATCTGGAATTCAGTCAAAACCAAATCTAATCTTCACCAAAACCCCTCAAAATTGAGATATAAACTCCAAACCATATTCCCGATTATTTTCAACAACACCCAATCCAAACAAATAATGATTTTTGAAAACCCAAATTTGAATTCAAAGCTCTCAAGTTTTTTAATGGCTGCCAATGGTGAAAAATATCTGGAAGAATACTTACTTCCATAATTGTAGCGCGCCTAAATAGGAATATCTGAAAGAATATTTAGTTCCAAATTTGTAGCACGCCTAATTAGGAAGAAATCAGCTCCTAATAATTGGTATTTAATGAATGGTATATATTTTGTAAAATAACTGTGAACATGGCGGGTAAATATAAAAGAATGCACATTTTTGGTAATAAGGTTTCATATATGGTATAGGAAGGAAAAAGTCTCTTTAATTAATGTTTCCGATGTTCTAGCAAGTCAGGCTAAACCGATAAGATGTAACCGTTCTTATATTTACAAATAAAATTTACATACCATCCAATACGACTGAGAGTGTAACACTGGGATAGAGCCTGTTGTTCTCAATAAACACAAGAAACATACCTAGAGAAAAGCATTATCAAATAAAACTTTAGGCATTTCCAAACGATGCATGCCAATACAAGAAGGAATTTAGGAATTTATAATAAAAACAAACATAATCGGGACTGCATATGAATGTGATATATAAAGCACAGCCCATATAAAGTAACAGATACAAACTTCGAAGATACATATCAAAATTAGTTGATGGAATTGCTAGGCAGACGAACACAACAATGAACATATTTGCTAGGCATTTAAATTGTATACTAGGAATAGTTGCATAATTAAGGTATCCTCTAAAACCTGTGTAAACTAATTAGGAAATACTTCAAGCTCTCAAGGCTTCAGTTGGGCCTTAGTATTAATGACTTTTTCAGGTTTAATCCATCTTTCGTTGTTTCTGCCACTTCCTAAGTCTGCAATTTAAAGTACAAAAACAATTAGATTGCAACATGAAAAATCTACACCTGAAGCAGCATCGGGGAATATTTTCTACCTAGAACCTTCTGCAATATATCTAAGGTACATGATACTTGCCCATATGCATTAGCGGAAAAACAGCAACCATGATACTTGTGTATTATTCCTGTATAATATCGGATGTCATCTTCAACATACATAAGCCTGTTAACAGAGGCCCCAAAAACCTGATACTTTAACCAGATGTAAACCAAGCATGTGAACCAAGACAAACTTAAATCAAATTGTGTTTATACTTGTAATTGACACACATTTTTTTTTTCGGGACAAGTACATTGATTTACAATTAAACAATGCGAGAAAATATAAAGCCCTAGAACATGCATCAGCATCGTGATATCATTCTTGAAATGCTTTTTTAATCAATGCATTCCTACTAGCAAAAACCAAGTTTCTCCTAACTCACAGAATTCAGGGACCTCGAGGCATCTAAAATGTATTATAGTTGCTTAACTTATGAATCCTATAAGAACTGTCAAAACACTACAACTGATTAACAGATGCTTAAAGTGCTGAAGGATTTAGCTGTGTGTTACTATTGACTGTCTACAAGAATCCATCTTTTGATGTGGGTTCTGCCATTTTTAGTACAAAAACATTTAGATTGGATGTGACTGCCCCACTTTCCAAGTCTGCCACTGCAAGTACAAAAACAATAAGATTGCAACAAGAAAGGTCTACACCTGAAGCTGCATCAAGCATAGTCTACCCGGTATGTCCGCCGTAATATGACTAGTATTCATGATGCTTACCCATATGAAAAGTGAGAAAATTTTGCTACCATAGTACTATGCAATATTCCTATATAGTAATGAACATTATACAAGCAAATCTCATAACTGAATCTTCAACATGCTTGAAGCTATGTTTTGAGGCCCCCAAGAACCAGATACTTCACCCAGTTGTGAACCAAGCAAATATTTCCTTAATCAATTGTGTTAACGCTTGTGCACTGAAGCACAAGCAAGCAAATATAAAGATTTAGCATTAGACCTATGCACAATGTGTGCTCGGAACTCCGCAACAAATATTTACAATTTAGGTCAAGTTATAGCCAACATGAGGAAAAATATAAAACTAACTTGCTATATGATGTGCACAGGAAGAACGTTACTACTGGTGTTCTAGCCATAATACTACGCCCCCTTGAATGTCCTAGAGGGAATTCATTCTTTGGATGGGGGAAGAAGGAAGAAGAATAGTAAAGCTAAGAAGACAATGTCGAAAAGATTAATATAAAGGATATATGGAAGGATACAGAAGAGGATAGACTGCAGACACCTGCATGACTTCCTACTGCAAGGTTTTATGGAAAAAACAACCAGGAAAAAGATTCAGTCTCACCTGAAAAAGCAAAATAAATTAAGCATCCAGGTTAGACAAAATCAGTCGCTTACCTAGTCGATTTGACCAGTAGACACAAAAAGAACCAGTCGCAGGAAATTCTGAAGGTGATACCGTCCCAATGTCAACACATCTCCAGATTAGCCTGACTGCTAGAACTAGCTGCAACAGTCAGACATTTTCTCATAGTTCTTCTAAGATTTTGATGGATCATATCGGTCATCAAAATCATCAGAAGCATCCCTTGCCTTCCGTTTCTTGATGTCAGAATTACGATCACTTCTTTCCCTACGTGAACTACTTTTCTCATGTGATTTGTGGTAGCTTCTGCTGGAGCTTCTGGGAAAATTCTCTCTAGATTCTTTCGAATAGTCTCTCTTCTCTTGGGTGATTGTCGATTCATGTGAGTAGGCACTAGCCTCTTGCAGATTTGGGCTTCTAGAGTAACTTTTTGGGTCCTGTCTGGACCTCCCATTACTTCTCTCTGCCACTACATGTTGGTGATGCCACCGAGATGCTTTTTCCATATTTGCAGAATAATCACCTTTGAAGTCTGCTGAATGGACTTCTCCATCAGTATGAAACTCTTTCCCATAACCACCTTCCCTTCCTTTGCTTAAAGGAGATGAATCCAGCTGCCTCTTTCCAAACTCAGCTTTATCCACATAAGAATTATCCGTTTTGTAAGTTGAGGAAAGTGGAAGTTTGGCCTCTTCAGCTCCTTTTGCTGGGCAATTGATGGCACCTGCTTGCCTGATTTCCTCCATGTATTCCTCAATTATGTCCCTCATAACCTAAAGGTAAGAGAGGACAGCAATAAAGATGTAAAAATGAGAAGGAACAGAAATAAGTCATCCAGAGAATTCTTCTTAGCGATATGGCTTTAAAGGAAGAAACTAAGACTCAGGTCAATGGATATATACATGACTATAAACAGAGAAAAACTTATGGATTTTTATGAAGATAGAGAAAAACATATGGTCAAATCTGAAGAAGCAAAGTGTACCTGTGTTGTTGACCGCTTCAACTTTTTTCCACGATATGACATTCTTCTACGTTTATAATCCCTTTCCTCAGCTAATAATTCCTCTCTCGACTTTGTTCTATTTGTGTCCTGAAAAAGTCATGCAAAAGATTAAGAAAACAGTAATCGTCTAATTGAAAGGACTAAAATACTGAAGCAAGGTTGAATTACATATAAAAACATTTTAACTCACCAGTCTCAAGTGAATTTCCCATCACAAAGTATAAGTCACTGAAGTTTAAGGACTCAAGACAGCGGGTTTTATCACCTGAGTGTTTATCACAATGAATTCACAACTTCTAGCCAGGCCTAAACAGGTTGAACTGCATTCCAGTTTTGTATTTTTTTAATAAACGCACTGAACTTTCAAAAATAACAGTCTCTTTGGCAGCATGTCTCAAGCCAGTGCAAGAAGAGACAATGAGGAAAGAGAAGAACAGAAAGCATCAAGATTTTTTCCATTTGTTGTACTCTATTAGGTGGGATCTTCCCAAGAAGAATTGAAGGGCAAGAAAACAGAAATATATGCAAAAAATGCTCATTTATGTTTTACCTCCCAAAAGCAGATGGTACTTTAAAAAACTAGTATCTTAAAACATTGATTCTACACTGGTTGTTATCTCTATAGGGGTTACATATAGTTACAGCTTCAAGATCTGTAATGACTCAAAGTATTATTTTGACAAGCAAACAGACCTGATTATTTCGCGAATGCTGCCACAGAAATCCATCATGTTCGAGCAGAGCTCTGTAATTAGGGCGTTTTTGCCGTTCCTCATCTGCTTTATTTGAAATGTAAGAGTGCTCCATCGATCTGCAAAGAAATCTGCTTAACTCTATACTCTAGGACTGATACATGAAGTATAACTTTTCATGCTTGAAGAGAAAAGTGAGATTACAGAAAACAGCAATAAAGGACTCCTAACTTGACACATTTGAACATATTGTAGACGCTTTATCTTTGCATATCACTATTTTAAGCATTTTCCCGCAAACCAAAGGCCTGGCAAAAAAAATTCTTTTCATCTGCATGTGAATCATTTGCGAGCCAGATACAACTTTCTGCATAGGTCAAGATAGGCTTTTCCTCCATTTATCTTTACTATACAGCCATATGCATCTAGATGGACGGCTGTTATAATTCAGGCCCAAACTCTGGGCTTAGTGGCAACATCGTTCATGAATTACAACTTCCAATTTGAACCAAGTTAACACCCAACTTTTGACATCTATGCATAAACAATTCTTCTAAACAGAAAGCATGGACTTGCCTAACAGAAAACAAATGTCCAATACCATTCAACAATTAGACGAATGTTGTGATGCACATCTACACAAATGGACATCTTCAAACTACCATACTAAGAAGAGTAAAGTTAATGTACCGTTGGTAAGCTGGAAGTGCTGGTAAATTCCTCAGTGCTTTGAGCTTTTCTTCAAGCTTAGATCGTTCATGCAACGCTGCAACAGCTGCTGCAACTTGGGAAACAAAAATCGGGCTTTTAGAGAGTGCTTCATCCGATATATCCGTCCCCGCCTTCTCTATCCTAATTTTAAGTGGCTCATCACTTTCCTGTGACTCTTTAACATTTCCATCCCCTCTTTTCGTATCAGTAGATTCATTGAACATACAAGAACTAAATGCACAGATACATTGCTTCAGCATATTAATAGCAAATAATTTCCCATTCGCGCCCCCATACAACACAGAAAGCTGGGTCGCTAACCACATCAAAACCTGAACTAACACCGGACACTTAAAACTCCGCCCACTGAAATCCGATCCCTCCGCTTCTTCATTGTAAAATGTACTAGCTAAATCAATAGCTTCCCTAACAATAGCCTTCAAACAAAGCTTAAACAGAACAAGCATATGATCCCTCATTGCTAAATCGAGCACAATAGGATAACACCTACCCGAATTAGCTACTAACCATGTAGACAAACACTCGACACTTTTCATGCCTAATCCCAATATCACACGAAGAACGCGATATGAATACATAAATGGAAAATCATTCCAACAATCAGTTTCATTCCTAATTGCATATGCCTCCGAAGGAAGAACCCTGATCAATTCATTCGAAAACAACATCAAATTTCTACCAAAATTAGCACATTCTGAAGATAAAACAGCAGGCAAAGTGAGCATAGGAGGAGCAGCATTTTCGCCTTTAATGGGGAAAGAAACAACACCAGGACAATCATAATAGAAGGAGGTGGGATTTTCATTTTCGAAATCAAGGTAGGTCTCGAGAGAGAAGCAAAGGTCAGATTGCGAATCTTGTAGAGGTAAAGTAAAGGGGTTGGGGTTTGAGGAGGAGTAAAGGGTGTGGGGGTATTTGAGGTTTTGGGTTAGGGTTTCAATGTGATTTGAGGGAATAGGTGTAGGGCAATGAAGGGAGTGAGAGAAGAGGGAAGAAAGGGGGAGACGATGGTTGGGATTGAAAGGGCATGGGATTAGTGTTTGAGAGGGGGAGAGGGGGGTGGGGAGAAGGGAAGAGAGAGAGTGGAGAGTGGTTGATGAGAGACTGAGGAGAGAAGTGAGGGTTGAGAGAGCAGTGGGAAGATCGTATGCCGGAGGAGTAGTGGTGGGAGTGGGCTGCTGAAAGTACGGTGGCGGTAGCGGTGGCAGAAAGGTGGAGGATGGTGGGGGTGGCAGTGGTGGCGGTGGAGGAAAGGGATTCATTTATTGTCTTTATTGCTGTTGCCAGAGATTTTGAGTTTCAGAGTCCTGAGACAGGCGAATATGTCCGAGCTTATTTCTTTTTTCAAATAAGTACAACACGTTTTTTTGGTTTACTACGCTAGTTCGAGCCCGTCTATATCCGAATTATATATATTTTATATATTATTTCTATATTCTATGTACAAAATATTTATAATAAAATCACCTCGAATCTTTATCAAATTATCGCAAAATTAAGATATAAACTTTACAGGGTATTTTCAATCATTTAAAACAATACTTATAGCCTGTTTGGCCAAGCTTTTTTTTGGGCCAAAAGTGCTTTTGGCAAAAAATTGAGATGTTTGGCCAATCTTTTAGAAGGAAAAAAAGTACTTTTGAGGAGAAGCAGAAACAGTTTTGGAGAAACAGAAAAATGTAGCTTCTCTCCAAAAACACTTTTCTGAGAAGTACTTTTGAGAAAAATACACTTAGAATCAGTTTTTAAAAGCTTGGCCAAGTACTAATTACTGCTCAAAAGTGCTTTTCAAATTAAAGCCAAAAACAAACTGTTTCTCATCCAAAGCACTTTTTTCAAAATTACTTTTGAGAAAAGCACCTCTCAAAATAAGCTGATTTTAAAAGCTTGGCTAAACAGACTATTAATCCAGACAAATAACAATTTTATAAAATTTGACTTTCAAAATCAAAACTTTGAAGCTTTTCGATGGCGGTTAATGAAGAAATTGTCATCTTTATAAGCATATTGTTATTTGTATCTAACATCTTTAGACCAAAGGCTAATTAGAGAATTTAAAAATAGATAACTAGCAAAATTTGTACTTATGCACTGCCGAATTTGCTGAAGCTTCAGTAAGTAAGTGCCATGGTTTCTCACAAGTATTTCGAGGCCAATACAAAAATAGAATTTGAAGCTTTGATGAAACTTTCACGTAACGAATTAGACATCCCCAAAACAACTGGAATTTGGATTCCGTTTTTTGTTTTCAATTTTCGTCTCTTTATATTGATTTCGGGCAATTTTTTTATTAGTTTGTTGCTTTGCTGTAATTATTTCGTATATAATTGGTAAATCTTATATCAGTTTGTATTTAAGCTAAAACTTTTATAGTAAGAGAAAATAAGTTTAAAAAGCAGTATAGCTAAGTAAAAATTCCACAACTCTCGTTATGAAATAAAATAATATAAAAAGAATAATAGAGTAACAAGAATAGAGAGATGATACTAAAAGGGAATAATGCAACTTCTGTTTCCATTGTTACCAAAAAAAAAAAAAAAACTTGTCATACTTTACAAAATCAATCTGATAAGTTATGTGTCTTTTATTTTGATGATTTAACAAACTTCATATGAGAACCAGATAGGGAATCTGAGATAATAGATTCCTCCGCGTTCAGAGCAACAAATTAAATGTCTGGCACAAGTCTCAATGAAATTAGATAAGGGAACAACATAGGGAACAGATAGAGATTAGTTCCTCCGGTCACAGTACAAGTCAACTCTAACAGTTGTTAAAGCTGCTGCACTGCACATGCAACAGTACAGCAGCATTATTGAAGCATGCTGTGTACTAGACACTCACGTACATCATCCTTGATGACCTCACTTATATACTACCAACATGAGGCAAGGGATTTAACACACTTGCAAAACCTAAATATCATTTACTCTCAAGTGTGCAGCTGTCTTTACTCTCCCAAAAGGCATTGAACAACAAAACAACAACATAACAAAGGACCAGATCCAGCATTGATTATATCATGTGTCCTTTAGTATTGTTGTGTCTTTGTTCATGTTATTCACTTGTCACTCCTATTCAACTTGATTAGAAGCATCCCGTAGGACATCTTGTAAACTATAAAATGTGCGGTTGTTTTGACTAGAATTAGTCAAGTGGTTAGCTTTGTAATAGAGTTATTACAAACAAAAAAAAACTTACAATATAGTTATTGTAAGTAGGTGAGAGATTAAGAGTTTAATTCCTAGATTACAATAGGTTGTAAATTAAAGTTTACTCAATTACACTATGTTTGGATCATTGTTACCCATCGTTTTATAATATATTTATTGTACTGTATTATATTGTATTGTATCATTTTATGGATACAACGTTTGAATAGATTGTATTGTTTATTGTTGTTAAATAATATTTTGTTGTTTGTTTTGACTGTATCGCACTGTACTGTAACTGATAAGTTTACTAAAATACCCCAATTATTTTAAATAAAATTTATCAAGAATTACACATAAGAATAATTTAAGACAACTTCTTTCTACTAATTTAAGATTAATTACGTAGTTTGAAACAATAGCAAAAATCTTGGGAAAAAAAGGTTAACTAATATTAGCAAAAAAAAAAAATTAAAACGATAGAAAGAGACAAACAATTGAACGGAGACTTGGTTAAAAAGAACGGGGCAAACCAATTATAGAAAATATGGAAGAAGAAAAAGTAGGTCAATAGATTGGAGATTTGGAGTTAAAATAAAAAAAAAATTAATAAAATAGAATTATAGAGTAATAAGTAAGGGCATAATTGGAAAAGAAAATAGGAAATGATCCCACCACACCAAATCGGTTGTTTCATAAAATGGGGCATTTGGTTGTTCCGGAATAATGGATTTAACAATAGAATACAACCATTTTTAATAAACAATCAAAACAAAACATTATTTTGGGATAAAAATACGATACAATACAATGGGTAACAACCATCCAAACAAGCTGTTAGTGAAATTAAAATCCTACGAGTATAGGTCGTGGTTTTTAATCCCGTGAGCTGGGAGGTTTCTACATCAATATCGTTGTATTATTTACTTACTGTTGTGTTCTGTGGGAACTGATAGAGAACCTGGTTCTCTATACAGTTTGGTGGACCCTTAGTTTACATCAATTGGTATCAGAGCAGGTTCTTTCTATAAGGCTAACGATCTACATAGCTGCTCCACCAAATTTTAAAGGACAATCAACCTACAGACCGCCAAGATTCAATGGACAATACTATGGCTAGTGAAAGACAAGAATGCATGATTTTATCATGGAAGAAGATTCAGAGCTTTGGGATGTTATTTGTGATGGACATGTATAATCACTTCCATGTATAAAAGTAATGGAGGAACAGGCAAGGAATCGGGTTCCACAAAGAAAAGGCCACCTATAACCAACATAGCAAGTATGTTACTGTGCCTAATAACTGGCTTTGCACTTACTGTGGTAAAACTAGTCATTTTAAAGATTCTTGTAAAGCAAATTTTCAGTCCCAACAGAAAATAAAATTTTTGTTGGAAAAGTATCTACTGCTAAGGAACCCGATTCTCTGAAATGTGTGATGCCTGAATGGACAAAAAGAAGTCTCATTCGCCCTTTCCCTTATTACAAGGGGCACAAACTTGTTTGGGTTCCTAAGACTAATATGTGAATCTCTTGTGCAGGCAGTAATGAAAGGAAGCAGTCAAAAAGGGTACATGGATAATGGCTGCTCTAAGTACATAACTGGAAGAATGGATGATTTCATTTCATTCAAGGCCTAGCAAGCTGGGAGTGTATCCTTTGAAAATGAGAAAAAGGAATACATTCTGGGAGTTGGAAACATTGGAAAAACACTCACTCACTCAATTGAAAATATGTATTATGTGAATGGCTTAAAATATAGCCTCTTGAGTGTCTCTCAAATATGCGATAAAGGAAACAAAGTGAAGTTCTTGTCAAATTCTTGCACGATCATCAATCTTATAACTGATGAAGTGGTTCTGATTGCAAAAAGATTTAAAAATATTTATGTTGCAGACTTTGATTCTCTGAATGGTGGTGACCTTACATGCCTGAGTGCCATTGATGATGATGCTGAACTATGGCACAGAAGATTTGGGACATGCAAGCTTTACCTCTGTTGAACAAGCTGATCAAGAAGGACCTGGTTCGTGAGTTGCCGAAGTCAAAGTTCAAAGATCACAAGGTGTGTGATGCATGTGTGAAAGGGAAGCAAGTCAGGTCCTCATTCAAGCCAAAGAAGGAAGTGAGCACCTCAAGGCCACTAATCTTCTTCATATGGATCTGTGTGGACCTATGAGAATGCCCAACAGAGGAGGAAAGAAATACATCTTCGTTATTATTGGTGACTGTTCCAGATTCACATGGACCTTATTTCTCAGAACCAAGGATGAAACCTTTCCAGTCTTTGCTGCTTTTGTGAAGCAGATTCAAGTGAAGATGAATCATAATGTTGTGAGCATTAGATTTTATCACGGTATCGAGTTTGACAATGCAAATTTGATGAATTCTGTGCTGAAAATGGTATAAGTCATAACTTTTCTGCTCCTAGAACACCCCAACATAATGGTGTTATGGAGAGGAAAAATATGACTCTTGAAGATATGGCAAGGACAATGCTGATTGACAATGGTGTACTAAAGAGTTTTTGGGCTGAAGTAGTGAACACTTCTTGTTATCTGATTAACATGATGATCAGGTCCCTCCTTAACAAGACCCCGCATGAATTGCTTAATGGAAGAAAACAAAGCTGACTTACCTGACAATATTTGGATGCAAATATTTTATTCTCAATAATGGTAAGGAAGCATTGGGAAAATTTGATGCTAAAAGTGATGAAGGAATCTTTCTTGGCTACACTTGACAAAGCAAAGCATACATGGTCTACAACAAAAGGACTCAATGTGTAGAGGAAAGTATACATGTAATCTTTGATGAATCTCACCACTCAAGTGGGAAAGATTCACATGATAAGGATGATCAAGATGGAGATTATTCAAAGGCACCTGGAGAGATTATCGATATGGAAAACAGGAAGGCAGCTCTAACGAGTCAAGTTAAGGAGTCCAATGAAGAAGATGTAGTAGAACTTCCAGCTGATTTAGAGGAACCTGGTCCCTCAATCACAGCAGCTGAAGCTGACAATAGAGTTGCTGGTATTGTATTAGGCACTCCTGATGAAGAGCAAAGAAATGGTATTCACACTTCCATCGATGCCAATGATGGGTCTCACATGGCGGAACCTGGCCCCTCACATCCTAATACCCAGGTCTCTAACTGGAAGCAAAAAATCTCACACCCTCTCC